CTCTACTTTCTCCCTACTGTTTCTTTTTTTCTTTCTTTTCTTTTTTAGTCGGAGTCTCTATCACCCAGGCTGGAGTACAGTGTCATGGTCACAACCACCCCAACCTCAACCTGCCAGGCTCAGGCAATCCTTTCACCTCAATCTTACAGTAGTTGGAACTACAGGCACACGCCACCATATGTTGGGAGCCAGCCATGGAAGCCCACTGAGCGTTAGGGATCAGGAAGGGTCATTGACCCCGAGACCACTAGGATGCGTTCAGGAGCTATTGACCCCATTTCCTCCCCCTTTCTACTCAGCACTAACCAGATTAAGCTCCTGTGAGCTCAAAATATAAAAACTCTGAGACCAGGACAAACACAAGCTAACTTTAGAAGCTCATTGCTCCCATTCTTCCACAAACTGCAGTTTTGGCTTTCACACAACTTATAATTCAAACTCGTGTCACATCTAAGAGCCTTAGTATTGGTCACAGGCTTCTGGGTCATGATCTTAGGATTTATTGAAGGTGTAAATTGTAGAATACAGATTTAGAAGACAGCCATTTTGTTGAAAGAATGCGGCTGGGTTACTTGCAGGTAGCCCATGTGAACTTTGGACTGGGCCACATTCCAAACATTCTGGGATGGACCACTTTCATTTGTAAAGTAAATACTTAAGCTTCTATAGAATTATTTAACTTGGCATGAATCAATCAGCTTAGGATGAAAAATGTTTATAGAATATGTCAGTCACAGGTTAGGTTATCCTTTGTCATGGGATTTTAAGATTATCATATGAAAAGGGTTTAAAGGCAATCATTGATTAAGTTTTCATGGATTAAGTTTTCTGGTGGGTGGGGGACGCCCCTCCCACATCTGACTTTGTGTATAAAAGACCCGTTGTAATTCCCAATAACACACATCGCTTCTTCACTAGACCAGAGTCCAGTCTCTTTCTTTCTCTCTCTCTCTCTTTCTTCTTCCCCCTTCCCCCCAATCGCCAACACCATCTCCACCTTTGGGGTACCCTGAACCCTGCTGGAGCTGGTCTCCGGCAACTATGTCCAGCTAATTTTTCTTGATTTTTATTAGATATGAGGTCTTGCCAAGTTGCCCAGGCTGGTCTTGAACCCGTGGGTTCAGGCAATCCTCTCACCTCTGCCTCCCAAATGCTGAGCTTATAGGTATGGACCTACCCCTGCTGAGAGAACCTCAGGTACAGGGAGACTAACAATACTGGATTTACAATGCTGTTGTATTGAATGTTATATTATATTTTTTAGTAAATAAAAGATTTCATGCTTTTTGTTGGTGGATACCACAGAGAAAGTATCTTTAAGGTCTCTTCTCCCACTGTCATCATGTGTAAGCCAGTGTTTCCTAAAGAGCTTTAACAACTGAGGAAACTCTTCATTGGAAGGTTGAGACTTAGACAATCAAAGAGTCTGAAGAGCCATTCTGAGTAAAGAGGAGTGCTCACTTAATTGTGCAATAATGATTAATCCAAACACCAAACACTCTGGAGGCTTTGGGTTTGTCTCATATGCTACTGTGGAGGAGATAAATGCAGGCTTGAATGCAGGTCACACAAGGTGGATGGAAGAGTTGTGGAAAATGAAGAAGCCTGTCTGAAGAGATGATTCTCAAAGCTCAGGTGCCCACTTAACTGTTCAAAAATCTTTGCTGGTGGCATTAAAGAAGATACTGGAGAACATCACCTAAGAGATTATTTTGAACAGTATGGGAAAATGGAAGTGATTGAAGTCATGACTGACTGACTGAAGCAATGGCAAGAAGAGGAATTCTGCTTTTGTAACCTTTTATAAACAGGACTCTGTAGATAATAGTGTCTTCAGAAATTACATAACAGATTATTTTATTTCTGCTCCATGGAAAATGTAAAGCATTCCAACAATAAGTTTTAACGTATATATTTTTGCACCTATGCTATTGATTGCCAAATATAATAGTCTGATCATGATACTGAATGATCAACACTCCAACTGCCCATGCCATAAGAGATAAGATGGACAAGTGGGATCTCATCAAACTGACAAGCTTCTGCAAAGCCAAGGAAACCATCAAGAGAGCAGAGAAACAGCCCACAGACTGGGAAAAAATATTTGCCAACTCCATGTCTGACAAAGGCCTAACATCTAGGATCTACAAGGAACTCAAACGTGCTGAAAAGAAAAAACAAACAACCCCATTACAAAGTGAACAAAAGATATGTATAGACAGTTCTCAAAAGAAGACGTACAAGCAGCCAACAGAGACATGAAAAAATATTCAACCTCACTAGTCATCAAAGAAATGCAAATTAAAACTACACTGAGATAGCACCTATCTTTAGTCAGGATGGCCATCATCAGTAACTCAAAAACTAACAGATGCTGGAGAGGATGTGGCAAAAAGAAGCACTTCTACACTGTTAGTGGGAGTGTAAATTAGTAAAGCCTCTGTGGAAACAATGTGGCAATTCCTAAAAGTTCTAAAAATTGACCTTCCATATGACCCCGCAATCTCCCTACTGGCAATATACCCAGAAGAACTCAAATTACTCTATAAAAAAGATACCTGTACATGTATGTTTATCACAGCATTGTTCATAATAACAAGAGCATGGAGCCAACTGTGCTGCCCATCAAAAAAGAACTGGATTAAAAAAATGTAGTACATATGCACAATGGAATATTACGCAGCCATAAAGAACAAAATCTGAACTTCGCAGCAAACTGGATAGACTTAGTCTATAATACTGAGTGATCTTTCACAGAAACAAAGAACTGAGTATCACATGTTCTCACTCATAAGTGGAGCTTGAACAACTATCATAATACTATAAGAAAAGGATTGACAGTAGTGGGAAACTGTGGGGGGTTGGGGGCAGGGAGGTGGGATAGGAAGTAGTGGGCATCTGCCTGGGGAAGAGGAGGCACACTTCATCAACAAGGGTACCTGAATAATGAATATTTGTATACCTAGCCCTGAATTGAACCCCACAATTTTAAAATAAAAAATGTAAAAGTTAAAAATAGATATAAATAAATAAATAAATATCAAAAGAAAATCTTCTTTTGCAGTTGATGCCATCTTACAGGTTTCACACCTACCTTACTATTTTCCTCAACGCCACTGTCTTATACTGCTTGTGTTGCTATAAATTAATACCTGAGGCTAGGCAATTTATAAAGAAAAAAGGTTGATTTGGCTCATGATTCTGATGTCTGGAAAAGTTTAATTGGGCATTCGCATCTGTCAAGGGCCACAGGCTGCTTCATGGCAGAAGGGGAAGCACAGTGTGCAGAGATTGCCTGGTGAGAGATGAAACGAGAGAGAGAGAGAGAGAGAGAGCAAGATGAGGCAGTTGTCAGGCTCTTTTTAACAACCAGTTCTCATGGGAACTAATAGAGCAAGAACTTACTCACGCGCCACCTCCAAGGAAGGAATTGATCTATTCATGAGGGATCCACCCCCATGACCCTAACACCTCCCATTGGGCCACAGCTCCAACATTAGTGATCAAATTTCAACATGAGGTGTGGGGAGGCAAATGTCCAAACTATAGCAGCCATAATTTGGAGAGAGCCCAAAGTCACGTAGATGACTCTTCTAAGACGTCTACGCCTTTCAGTTTGTTGACTGTCTCAACAGGAATGACATGACTTTCACTCAACTTCTACAACCACTCCCACTGTCAGCCTACAACTGCTGTTGCACATTAGCAGACAAAACCTCAATGATTTTTTTCAGACCAATGACAATTTTCTGTTGTCATTTAAAATGTTTTAACCCCCTTTGCAAAATAAATCTCCTGATATCATCTCCTTCGCTACATTTTATGGTTCAAAACTATCTACCCTTCTATTAATGCAAAGTGTCCTAGTGAAACAAATGCTCCAAAAACACCAGGCACAGATTTATTTTTTTAAAAAAGGAAAAAAATTTCCCACAAAACTATGTAGATGACTAGATTACTCCAACAAGACTTTATATTATGCATTTTCATATGAGCTTTCAAAACTGTTTTGCCATTCAATTATATATTATGAATAAACTCCCTCTCCCAGTACCATCAGTGGTCATTCCAAACTCTTGTCCTTACCTTCATGTCTTTTGTCTCAAGGTGCTCTCATCTCCATAGCAGACTGCATTCAATAGCACATAAAAAGTTGGAGATTGTTATGAACCCACTTCTGAATTCCTACCAATAGCTGCACCAGTACTTTTCTTGTTTATCCTGCCACAAAGGAAACAGTATGCAGACTATTCTTGCTCTGCGCCCTGAAATCTATCTGCTCTAGAACTGTGATCCATATATTATTCCATCATTCCTGGGCACTTTCTCATTTTTGAGGCCTCTTCCTCTCAGCCTGCAAAGATTCACTACCATTACATTAAAAAATCCCTTTCATGGCTCTACATGCCTTTCCTTTCATAACCAAGTATCTAAAAAAGCACTTTTCTCTGATTGATCAATCCCCTAAATTTCAGCATCTGACCTCACTTCTTAACAATTGCAAGTGAGTAAAACTGATATCTCCTCATCCTTGGCCTTCCTCAAGTCATGCATCTCTTAATAACAGGGTATACATTCTGATAAATGTCCAAAATCATTCATTTTTATTTAGATTGTAAAGATGATGAATAACCTTCATATAATGTAGCTATCAATTATTTTGAGTATATTCCATGCTACGCCTTGGTCCTATAAATATAAGAACATGTGGATGTGACCCCTCATTAAGACCATAGTCTCATGGATGAGATGTATAAAATGAAAATCACAATTTAAGAATTGTAGTAATTTTAGAAGTATAGAATTTAAAAATTAGAATGAAGAAACTAGAGAGCATGTATTCCATGTTGAACATTTTAGTCTTGCTGGATTTTGAGGAAGAATGTGACTTGACAATGTTTATATCTTAGAAAAATTGTTTTGATGGATTTTAGAGTATAAGCTATAAAGAAATCACTGGAGCAATTTTTAATTCAAAGATCACAAAGGGAATTGAATTATTTTTTTTAACAAGTGTAATCAATCTATAAAATACTTGACTTAAGCATCTGCAATGGTGACTTCAACCTCAACTCCCAGCTCTATACTGATGGAAGTAATCTGTTTGACAATCTCGGAAGGACTGTGCAAGTCAATGAGTGGCTTGTGAATTCTCATCTGGAAACGATGCCATGTCTTGGAACCTTCACCACAAGGAGTATTTCTTGTAGTGATTCTCAAAGTCTTGGCAGACATGCGAACCGGTCCTTTCACTTTGAAATTCTTTTCCTTTGCACCTTTGATTAGGTCAGCTCACACTTTATCCAGAGATTTCACGTTGCGGCTGGCAAGGGTGATCCTAATTTGGATAATCGCCACCTCTGGCTCCATGGGTGTCTTGCCAGTGTCTTTAAAAGCCATCCCCACAGCAGGGCTTCCTGACCGACTTGTTCCTCGGCAAGAGTGAACAACAGTGAATCAGGAACAGGAACGAGAGGACCACTGCTATGCAGCACCCACGTACGCATCGGCTTCAAAAGGATGGAAATTGAATTCTATAAATTAAGTCAAGAGTTCGTAAATTTATTTTTGTAAAGGGTTAAATAAATATTTTAGCTTTTACCAGTTGAATGGCCTGTTGTAATTATTCAACTAAGCCTTTTTCCCATCACAACAGACATACACATATAAAAATAAATTAGGATGGGTATATTCCAAAAAAATTTATCTACAAAATCAGTCTATGGCCAGATTTGGTCTACAGGCTATGGTTTGATGATCTCTGATAGAAGTGATTTGTTTGTGAATGTATGTAAGGATGAATATATATGTTAGATACACACAGAGTTACTGATAAAACATGTGTGTTCCTACAAAATTTATTTGTTGAAACTCTCATCCCAATGTCATAATATCTGGAGGTAGGATGTTTGAGAGGTAATTAGGTCATGAGGACAAAGTCCTCATGAATGGGATTAGTGTTCTTATAAGAAGAGGCCAAAGAGTTAGTTAGCTCTCTGTCTGTCATGTAAGAAAAAGTCGGCAATCTGCAACCTGGAAAAGAGCCCTCACTAGAACATGGTCATGCTGTATCCTGATCTCGAACTTCCTAGCCTCCAGAACAGCAAGAAATAAGTGTGTGTTGTTTAAGCTGGCCAGTCTATGGTAATTTGGTATAGCAGCTTAAGCTAAGACATACACACACACTTATACGTGTATATACATAAATGTGTGCATGCATGTGTATGTATGCATGTTTATGTGTTTGTATACTTGTGGGTTACATGTGTACCCTTGAGTTACAAGAATAAACATACTATTGGTCAGAAAGTAAATTTATGCAGCCATTATGAAAAACAGTATGGAGTTTCCTAAAAAATTAAAAATAAAACTACTATATGGTCCAGCAATCCAAAAACTAGGTATATATCCAAAGAAAATTAAATGAGTATGTCAAAGAGATACCTGCACTCCCATGTTCATTGCAGCACTATTCACAATAGCCAAGATATGACATCAACCCAAGTGTCCAGCAATGGTTGGATGAATAAAGGAAACAAGTTATTTATCCACAACAGAATACCATTCAGTCTTATAAAATGAGAAAATTATGTAATTTGCAGCAACATGGGTGAACCTGGAGGATATTGTATTAAGTGAAATAAACGATGCACAGAAAGACAAATACGATGTGATTTCATTCATATTTGAAATCTATAAAAGTTGAACTCTGCCAGGCTCAGTGGCTCAATCTGTAATCCCAGCACTTTGGGAGACTGAAGCAAGTGGATTGTCTGAGCCCATGGGTTCGAGACCCTCCCAGGCAACTTGGCAAGACCTCATCTCTACAATAAATCAAAAATTAGCCAAGTGTAGTAGCATGCACCCGTAGTTACCACTACTTGGGAAGTTGAGGTGGAAGGATGACTGGAGCCCAGCGGATGGAGGCTGCGGTGGCCGGAAGCGTGTCACTGCCCTCCGGTCTGGGTGACAGAGTAGGACTCCGACTCAAAAAAATATTTAAAAAGTTGAACTCATAGAAGTAGAGTATAATGGTGGTTACTGGAGCTAGGATAAGGGTAGGGGTGGGATTGTTAAAAGGATAAAAAACTTCAGTTAGATAGGAGAAATAAGTTCAAGAGACCTATTGTACAGCATGATAACTATAGTTAATATTAATATATTGTATTCTTGAAAAGTGCTATTAGAGTAGATTGTAAGTATTCTCACCACAAAAACATGACAAATATATGAGAAAATACATATGTTAATTAGCTCAATTTATCCATTTCACAGTTTATGGATATTTCAAAACATAATGTTATACACAATAAATATAAATATATAATTGTTATATCTCAACCAAAAAGAAAAAAGAAGACTAAGATGCTAACATTCAGTTTACTTCATCAAACATACTTCTTTTCTCTTTTTTTTTTTTTTTTTTTTTGGCCACTAAAATAATGTTTATTGAAGCAATGATTCACATCCATAATCCTCCAAACTTGATCCATTTAAAGAAATTTCTAACAAGTTTTCTAGTATTCAGTGTTTCCAGTAATGGATGTATTCTGTATACTACCAACAGGTTAATATTTTAGAAATACAACATAACATAAGGGCACTACCATACTCCCCTAAAATCAGTAACTTACATTTGCCTAAAATATAAAGTCTCAAATTTTTAGCTTGAAATTTATGACTCTCCTTCATATAGCCCTAAAGCTACCATACACTTTATCTATAAAACTGATAAAACAGATTATTTACCACAAGTGAGATATAACTAAAGTATGTTAGGATAGGGTACCTTGCATTGTTATTTATTTGTATCCCTCGTTTCTTAGATAAGATAAGAATCTTTGTTATGGCAGGCTGGCACATATAGCACTTTAAATGTAAAACCATCCTACACATGAAGCATCTTATACATAAAACATGATCAGTTACCATTTACACACATATCATGATTGTACCATTTACGAAGACTTCCTGTTATGTCTCTGCTTATTGTAATTGATCTTGGAGTGTTCTTTCTCTGGCCTCTGCCTATCAAGATTTTACTGACTCTTTAGACTTATCTCAAATGCTGGTCTCCTTTGAGGCTTTCATGGAATTCCTTTACCTCCCACCACACTGGGATGAATCTCTTCCTCCTCTGTACTTCATGTAGTCTTTTGATACATCCATTCTGTCTTAAATTTTAATTAGTCATATACAAACACATTTCATGCTTATTTTTAATAAGTTCCAGACACTATGCTAAATGAAAGAGATTATTACATAAATAACACAAACCTGAAAATTTTCCACCATTCATTATTATATAGAAAGTGTAAAAGCAATTGAGGGAGTAAACAAGACTCAAAATGTTTCATTATAAATAAATTATAAAAATAAAATTGTAAGCTGGGCTCCGTGGCTCAGCCTGTAATCCCACGCTTTGGGAGGCTGA